ACCAATTTGGATCGCTTGTTGTTCCCTTGTCCCTGGGTTTGTTATCCCCTCTTCTTGGGAAGTTTCTTAAATGCAGGCTTACTTCAGGGGTCGGGGGGGAGGTCTACAGACTATTCAGTCATTGCATACAAGAGCGGTGAAGACCTGACTCCCCCCAAATTAACCCAACTACTTCAGTTACATATGCTTGATCCCATTGAATCAGTGATTCAAGAAGCAGGTAAAGGGTTGTTTGGGGTTGTTTTTTAAAGGTGATTATTAACCAGCCACCTTCATGGATGCTTCTGAAATCCACTTAATTCACATGGAAGGTGACCATGCTGTGAAACACACACACACACACACACACACACACACACACACACGAAGATAAATGGTCACAGCACACCGTCTGGCGGAACGGTGGGACCCTGAGGCCGGAAACTGTTTACAGAATAAAGCCAAGCCCCCCTCTCATGGGGAGTCTGGTGAGGCCAGAGGGAGGGAGAGATGTGCCATTTCATGAGATAAGCAGCTGTCTGTTTAGGGACACCGGCTGAGTGAAAATGAACTCGCAGGCCTGCTCCTGGATCAGGCATCTCTTTCAGGCCACGTCAAAGTTCCCTTTTCTGCCAGAGCACATCACCCTGAGATGTGAGCACCGCTGAGTGTCCTGAGGACAGGGCCGCTCAGCCCTGTGGGTCCACCTGACGGAGGCTATAGCCGTGGAGGCCTGCCTGGGACAGTCACGGTTCAGTTTGCCTTCTCGCCTCCTCCAGTGGAGCTCTAAGAGGTCTACCATTTTGCTGCACAAGAAAACATGAACATCTTCATCTAAAACCCTGACATCTTGGCTGTCCTGCGGGCTGGGATCAGAAATGATTTGGTGTTGCAGAAAAGTTCAGGAGCAGAGCAGAAGGTGTGGGATCTCCCTGTACACTCCTGCACTAGGACGTGAGGACGGTGCTTCTAAAATAATTGTTAGAATCACCTCTGAGAAGGCACTAACAACAGCTAACACCTCATAGTTTTTACTGTGTGTCGGAGAGAATTCCGAATCCCCCTCTTTCAACACACAAACACACACAAGTGCACAATGAAGCTTCAGGAAATCCTTTGTTTAGACATCTTATCTGATTGCCTAAGCAGAACAAAATAAACAATCCGGTTGCTTTAAATAGGCTTGACATTTCTCTGCTGGAAAAAAAGGACATTAACATCTGACACGTACTCACGATCTATTGCATAACTTGGGAGCTGAGGGATAAAGATTTTGGACATAATGTCACACCCACAGTGCCTGCGCACAGGAAACGGAGACTAGGCTACGACTGGTGGAGCGGCAGGGAGGGGAAAGCAGAGAACCCCACACAATTCAGGAGTCTCACACTCTTCCGCTCTTTAGGTATGCACCCGAGGAAGAGGCTCAGATATGGAGCGAGTGGCGCTAGGGCCGCCTGGGGTCTGCCTGAAGTGTGTGACAGCAGCGGGAGTTGATGGACTTAAAGCTTCCAGAGGTCATGGGGACAGAGCCTCAGCGGGAGGCAGGAAATGAGATCTGAACCAGGAACGAGAAGGCTTGTCTTCTTTTCAAATTGGAAGCAACATAGTCTTTCCGCCTTCTCCAGGAAGTTTTCCTCTTTAGTGGACATTGGGACCTTCTGAAAGCCATCAGTTAAAACTCTGAAACCCACGAGAAGGTAACAGACACGCTGCTGTCAGGCTCCTGACCCACTCGCAAGAGGCCACTGCTAAATCTCAGGAATCTCGCAAGCAGCTGCCAAACACTGCCATTCTATAAAATTATAGTATGTGACCTCATCATGGAATAATTTCTACTAAAAACCAAAGGAGTCATACACCGAGCGTATCCCACACCCTAAGCACTTTACCATTAGCTGCGCTATTCTCGTTCTTTACATCCACTGTATCGACAGGACGGGACACACGGCACAAGGGGGAGCCAGTGAATGCCTGTCTCCAGCTCCAGGGGAACACGGCTACCTCGGCACTGACACACAGAACCAGGCGGACGACAAGCCAGGGCTGCTTTTCTCCCGGTAGGCTTGGCTTGGAGAGTGGGTGGGAGGGGAAACGTCTGCAGTGGCATTTAATTGTTTATCATTTGGCAGGACAACACCCCCCCCCCCCCACGGCCCAGCTGATGTCCCCCTAGGCTGCTCAGAAGTTGAGCGTGAGCCCTGCAATCCAGAATGGAGACTGCAGTAGCTGCAGAACCTTGGCCGTACTTAACACTCTAAATCTCACTTTCTCTTCTGTCGACTGGGGGGTGGAGCATCTCCGGTACTGAGGTCACAGGCTGCTGTGAAGATCAAGTGAGCTAACACACAGGAAGTGCTTTGTAAAAGCATGACTCACACGCTGACTGCCAACAGTCATTCCGACTCAGAGCGACTCTCTGGGGGGGGCTGCCCCTGTGGGTTTCTGAGACTGTCACTATTTTTGCAAAACTAAACAGCCTTTCTCCCTCATAGAAGCTGGTGGGCTCAAACTGCTGACCTTGCAGTTAGCAACCCCATGGGTAACCACAACATTGCTAGGGTGCCATTAAGAAGCAGCAATTATGATTTCATCACAAATCAAGGTTTTCCAATATTTTAAGAAAATCTGTAAAGGTAGCAGCCAGTAGAGTTCATCACGGTTAACTGAAAAATAGCAGTTGTTTCTTTAGGTATTCTCTGCCAGTCTCATCATCCATCCTCAAGATGTAGGTTTTATGCTGACAATAATCAATGGTTAAATTAAGCATGTATACCCTGCTTGGATCTTGCTCAATCTAACTTTAAATGGGAAGTGATCAGGGATGTTACTAATTGGACTATTAATTTCTTCTCTCGTTTCTCCTAACTTTATCTTTGAATACCTTCAAGGAATCCTTGATAAGACTGGGTTTATCCAGAGACTCCAAGCCCCTGAGTGGTTATCAATAAGATCTATTGCCCCTTGAGAAGAACAGGGATCATAATAATTGATTTCATTTCAAGTCTACTGCTCTTGACATTAAAATCAATGGCAATCAATATCCACTTAGTGTTTACTGTCCAGCCCAACTACTCCACACAGCAATTTAAAACATCACTTTCTCTGCATCCAGTCCTTCTGGACTCGGAAAACAGCCCGTAAAAACCATTTCAGGTGGTCCCAAAACACAACACAAGTCCAGTTTACCGTGTTACTCCATCCCACGACACAGGAAATGTTTCCACCTCCTCCTATCTCTGCCACATGGCTGATGGGTAACCAGCGAGCCAAGAACCAAAGGCTTTTCCCAGAAACACAGCGGTAATTACGAAGACCCAGGACTGCTCCCCAAAAGGGACGATGTGGAGCTGGGGGAAGAGTCCACCAAGGTCAAAGCCTCCGATGAGCACAGTCTTGTGAGCAGTGGGCTGCTGTCTCGGGGAAGAGGCATCCTCTCCTGCTTGTGAGCTCCTGAGTTCTTAGCCTGTTCCACAACCGGTGTGGACAGACGGGGCTGTGTCACTACCTAAATCTACATCTGCAGAATCTCACGAAGTCCTGACGACTCTTGGATTCCACATCCCTGTAGTTAAGAGATAAGCTTTGGCAACAAGATGTGCCTTCAACCATTACTAGGTGAGAAGGAGGAGTCCAGACCCATCCACCCGACCTATCAACCACCACCAGCCCACTCAAATCTCAAAACACTGAAATGCATTCAAATATCAAATGGAAACGTCATTTTCAGCTCCTCTATTGGCAGCCCCAAATCAGGAATTTAAAGTTACCAGCAACTCAGAGGTTCCTAGCACGTCTAGCGTCAGGGACTGCATCCTGGAGTGGTGGACCCCCAGCTCCCGGTGGATTCCGGAACACTCGATGCAGGTCAGGATGCCCAGATTGGTGGAGAGCCAGGTAGGGTCTGCCAAAGAGAACAGGGTAAATGTGAACTTGCTGGACGGGAAGGGGCTGGGGTCAAAACTTTCTTCCGTAAGAGTCCTGAGTGAGCGTGGAGCTGCCCACTGTGTTCCGATTCTTGACACATTTGGGACCTTTCATTAACCCATAATCACCACCAATATACACACAGTCCACATGAGTGCTGCCTTTCTTGTCTCCTTCTCCTCCCCTGTCTCTCCACCTCCACTTCCAATCATTCATTAAGGGCTCCTAGACGTCTGGCAGGATGCCTGGTGGTGCAGCCAGTTACGCAATGGGATAGTTGCTGCAAGGTTGACGATCAAAGCCCACCTGCCACTCCTGGGGCGACAGGTGAGGCCGTCTGGTAGTCTGAAGGTTACTCTGAGTTGGGACGGACTCCACAGTGGTGGGCTTGTGTTTGTGTCTTGGGGGTGGGGTTAAAGTGCACAGTACTGAGAACGCAAGCAGGAAAGGCACCGTCCAGGTCCTCGAGGGCATCAGTCCCTCAAGGGCTGATCCTGGACACAGACCACCCCCACCACCAACCTGGTCACACATTCCAGAGAAACAAGACCCACCCAAGTCGAGTGCCCTGAGCTACGCGGACCTAAGACGTCCAGGTCCATACAGCCACACAGGTGGTGATGATAGCAATCATAGAGAACGTGCACTAACTACTTCAGACTGCTCTAGGTCTAGCACTTTGGCAGTAGTAGTAATAGTAGTTTACTTGCTGGGATGCAGAAATTACAGAGTACAGCACATGCCGTCTCATCTGTCCCCTATGCGTGCCATGGGATGCACGACAGGTATTTTTATGCCAGCTCTGCAGATCTGCTATCCTTACAACGCAGAGACGGGCTACGGAGTGAGTTTCTGAGTGAAAGGCCATTGCCGTCATATGATTTCCAACCTGTGCTCTTAGTCCATCGCCACGTTTCTCTGCACAGCACAATCACCTGCTCACAATGACGCAGCCACACTGCCCGGCATGAGGGAGTGCTTGAGGAATGCTGCAGAGAGGAGTACCGGCTATGGAAACATGCCTGAGCACTGGGTCATCCCCCTAACTACAATTCCCTCCAAAGGGTGTGTGGCCCTGAGAAACTCAGACCCCAAACCACACTCACTGCGACTGAGTCAATTCTGACTCAGAGACCACATATACAGGAGAGGGCAGACTGCCCTGTGGGTTTCTCAGACTGTAACTCTCTACAGGAGTAGAAAACCTCCTTTTCGCCACCCCCTGGAGCAGCTGGTGGTTTTGAACTGCCAAACTTGTGGTTAGCAGCTCAACGTGTACCCACTACGCCACCAGGGCATCTTTTCAAGCTCATAGCAGGTATGTATCACGACCTTGGTCACCAGACAAGTGTCAAGTTTTATAAAAAACATACAAGTTACAAAAAGTGTCCCCGTCAGGAAACACGTCTGGCCATGCGTGCTTTCACTTCACCGGGCCGGTGTCACTGCGTGTTGTTTACAGCTGGTAGACAGACAGCACACATGACCCCACTTTCACGACTCACCGTCTCAGCATGTTCAAGTCACAGTGTGCACAGGCGTGGGCTTCTATAGGAAGGCACTTTCACAGCCCACGTGCTGCACCGTCCTTTTCCCAACAACAAACCCAAACTCACAGCCGTCGAGTTGATGCGTCCTCCTCGCGACCTGACACAAGGCAGGGCACAACTGCCCCTCCGAGTGTCCAGGACACCAACTCTTCACTGACCAGAGAGCCCCGGCTTGCTACCCTTTATCTCACGCAAGATCACAATTCACTTCTTACCACTCCCCGTCTCGTTCCTTACCAAGTTTTTTTGTTTTTTTTAAAGGATTTAAACTCTAAGAGTTCATTAGTTGAAGGCCCTCAAACATGCTTTCTGAGTAGAAGGAGCCTCACGGCAGATATTAAGCGTCCGCTCTGCTCTGGTTGCCCATGTTCACAGACTGAGAGGGAGGGCAGTGGCACTGACCTTTCCAGTGGACCCACACCCTCCTTATTTCACACAGGCCCAGCAAAGGGTCCCCAATACCACACTGGATCTTAATTAGACATACGCATACATTCCTTAGACTTTTAAAGGGCATTGTGAAGTTTCACATTGCTATTTCATGTTCTTAAAAATAAGCCTCATTTTCAGAGTCACTGTAAGAATGCCCTCCTCATTTTGCAGCACATGATGAGCTGGGAAGGGGCTTGGAAACAACCGAGACCAAGTCCCCCACTGTCCACAGGGGGACTCTCACAAAAACAAGCTTCTCTTACAAAGCAACAGCACTACACGGTGGCTTAAGGTTGCTTCAAACGTTCTAAAAGTGACACGAAAAGATGATCAAATAAAACTGGGAGAGGGGGGAGAGATAATCCCTACCCAGCCACTTGGCCAATAAATACACCGACTGGATGACCTTGATTTCATCCACACAATGTCCTTCAGTTTTCATTTCTCAAAAAGCATTTACAGCTTTTCAGCTACAGCAGAGCCAGCTTCACTGGGCTCTGTTCCGAGGGCCCGACAGGCAAATACCTTCCCTCCCTTTCCCCCTAAAACAGTCTCTGCACACAGTTCATTAAGCATTTGTGTAATGGGATGAACTCAGGCTCAGCTTCACTTAAGTGAAAATCAATGAATGAGGCCTGTGAATTGGAACGGGGAAGGGATTTACAAACTGGGCAGTGGGTGGCCCTGGTCACCTGGTGCCCCGCAGTCGCAGCACACAGCGTTGCCGGTCATCCTCTGGACTTCAGAGATGATCTCCTTCGTTAGTTCCTGGACGATGTTATTCTCCCCCGTGGTGTCATCGCCCTTGAAGGCGTTGTTCAGAGCTTCCTCCTTGCTGTTCTGCAGCACGGACATCCATCTAACAACACAGAGGCAGAGCGGCCCTGAGCCCCAAGCACCATGGCCACACTCCTGTGTAACGTCCGGCCGCCCGGTCACTTACATTTGACATTCCTGCTCATCTTCGGCTTGAAAGTGGTATGTTCTGTCATCTGGAGGACAAGAGGGACCCGTCAACTGTGGGCGCAGACAGCAGCCAGAGCACGGTGCCGAGGGGACATGCTTGCCATTAACCTCAGGCACTCTCTGCGTTCTGCTAGGAAGCGGATGGCTTCTAGGAAAGCGCACGCACTCTTATGTCCTTCAAATGCCTACCTCTGTCAGTCACGTGGCTTTGTAATGCAGATTAGTGAAGCTGTCTTATTTCACCACACAGGTTTAAAGAGATGCAGCTTCCACAAAAACAGCAGGCAGTGGAAGATATGAAAATAGCAATCAGGGGTCCATGAGGGTGGGAAGGTGGCAGAGGGAGAGGGAAAAAAGAGGAGCTGATACCAAGAGCTCAAACAGAAAGAAAATATTTTGAAAATGATAACAATATGTACAAATGTGCATGATACAATTGATATATCAACTTTTTTAGAAGGGGATATATAGATATTTTATAGAAGCTGTAAGAGCCCCCAATAAAATGATTTATTAAACAAAGAAAAAATGGAAGCTGCTTAATGAAGACCATCACTTGTCTTTCAAGAGCTTTATTTTATTTGTTTAACTTGCTGAAGAGTTAGTCCCAAACAAGTAATTATCAAAAGTCTTTCAAAAATAAAAGACTTTTCCTTAGGCAAGTGTCTTAAAGAGATTTTTGGATTTCGTAGGAAAAAGGCTACTATGAGAATTTCTAAAGTCACAAGCTAGGGGAGTCCTCCTATGCTATAAATACAGCTAAAGCAACAGACTGTTGTTAACTGTGAGGGGATATAAAGGCTTCCATTCACAGAGCTGCCATTAGCAACACTTTAAAGTGTGACCCAAGACGCTGAGGCCTGGAATGGCATTATGGGGGG